TTTTTTTATATTTTTAATGGCAACATATTATAATCATTGAAAAACATATAAAAACATCAATTTAATATATTTTAAGTAACAAAATAGTTTGAAAAGCACTTTTAAACATGTGTTTGGTAATATAATATAAGATGTTTTTTAAAAGGGTTTTTCAATTAAAATATATCTAAATAATATTTTTTCATAATTTTTTTATATCCTCATGTTAAAATCATTGAAAAACATTTAAAAAAGTGTTAATTTGATGTTATTTAGATAAAAAAAATAATTTAAAAAATAAAAGTTATAACAATGCCAAAAAATCCAATTTGAATCAAATTAACAAACGAAGCTTGAGTACTCAAGGTTAAAGTCAAACTTTCAAATTCAAACTAAACAGAAAATGACACATCAAAACCCATAAGCAAAATATTAGCTTAATTTCATATCTACAAAAGACAAGCTTAGTTTTAGAGGAAGATGTAGCTAAGCAAAATATTAGCTTAATTTCAGATCTACAAAAGACAAGCTTAGTTTTAGAGGAAGGTGTAGCCCAGGATCAACTCATCAAACAAACTGGGCTATGCCTCGTATAACTGTGCTCAACAAATAATCTGAGCTAGGCCTAATAAAAATATTCTAATAAGTAATAAGGATCTAGCTCCTTGTTCACACACATTTTCAATTACTTTTCTCTTTATTGTTTAGCTTGCAAATTTGCAATTTCCATCATTCAATTAGAGGTGATAATTGTGAACGAGGTGACTAATAATCTACTCCAAATCTATAAATGGAAATAGTATTTATCGGTCTTGCATTTTAAAATTTAAATCACGACATGTTTTGAATTTGAAATAATAATCCAAAATCTTTGGAATGAAATCAAATTGATTCATGATTCAACCATGATATAGTGTTACATAATCTTATGATTTTTGAAATTCATCAATTTTAACTATATGGTTTGTGGCAAGTGTGTGCACGGTGTTCTGACATTAGAATTAAGGAATTATTATCTAATTGCTTGGTTTAATGTTATAGAAGATTTAGATAGATCAGTTTTATTTGAAATTTTAGGATAAAAAACTAGTTGTTGCTAGAAAAGATATTAGCACCACTAATATACTTTACTTGAAATAAACTATATTTTATGGTGTAGATATAATTTAAAGATATTTATGGGTTCCTAACTGGTGGTCCGTTTATAGCTTAGAACTAAGATTTATACTTATAAATAAATTTGACATTTCAAATTTATTATGAGTTCGTATGTCTACGTAAATTCTTATAACAAGAATCCAGGCAAGTGCTCTTACAGGGTTCATCTATTATAGAAGGCGGAAATATTTTCCTCAACTAATTTATTGTGATAAAAAAATACTCCTAATTAAAATTAATATATATCCAAAATAATTCTAAGATTTTTCTAGTTAACTTTTGAAACTTAAATACTAGCCTACTGGTAAGTCCAATATTTATACCAAAATATTGACCATTAATTTTCAGGAATTAAAATGTTTAGGGTTATTAAAATATTGGTCAAATCCTTAAAGAATTTTACAAACTTATTGCATTTTCTCTAAAAAAATAATTCTAAAAACATTTCTCTCATTTTTATAATAAAATACAATTTTTTAATGAGGATTAGGTTATATGCAACAAGTAAAAATTATTTTAGTTTTTTTTATTATTATCTGTTTTATAAGGCCATTTTAGCAAAACCATCTTTTTCGTTCCTAGAAAACTATCAAAATAGATTTAAAGGTGTGTTTGTCAAATATCTTCTTAGGCCAAAAAATCCTAAACAAAATGTTTTCTAAAAAAATAAAGCCTTAAATACCTAACCCAAAACAAAATCAAATTGTTCAACCCAAAGACATGGGTTTAAACAACTATGAACCAAACAAAAAACTAAGTTTTAACTTGAAAACTAAACCAAAATAAAAGTTTAAATTGAAACAAAATCAAAGTTGAAAATTAATACAAAACATAACATTTTTTGCAGAAAAACAGATTAAACACTCAAACTGTGAAGAATACAAGAACATTTATCAAGAATCTAACAGATACAAATCTCAATCTAAATAGGTTTTTATGCATTCAAGGCCAGGATTTTATTCGAAATCATGCAAGGATCCATAATCTATCATTCACTCACTTTGATTATTAAAGAATCAACACGATTTTGTCAAAATAGATTTTAGTTCAAAAATGTATTATTAATATAAATAAACCCTAGATTATCTACTAGTTAAGTTTTCTAAATGATTTAGTGTAAAGAAATAGACAAAAACTAGTCCAAATTATAGGTTTAAGGCTATATTCTTTCCAAGAACATAAAGAAACTAGACCCAGCAATCCAGAAATTCCTAGCCTACTGTTAAACCCAAAACCAGCCTCTTAGGCTTCTAAAACATGCTGCTTTTAGTCCTCACAAATCACATTGCCAATACTAAGTATCATTTAATACAAAAAACTAGCAAATAACAACAAATCATCAATAACATTAATGAAATTCAAAAGTTCTAAACTACCAAGCTAAATAACAAACATATTCATGCTATTTGGAATCAAAACTTGATATTTTTAACATCTACATGCCAAAACATACTTGTATGAACTATGAACTTGCATTGAAAACATGAAATTGATTAATATGTTTCCATTATTATGACAAGTTACAAGAGGTTATTGAATTTGATATTATAATTTGTAAGATACATTGGTTTTATTAAAATGTTATTGATATCATACTAATAGAGGAATTATAGTAGATGTTCACCATGATATTTGTCAAAATAAATAAAATAAAAGAGATATACTTCATAACATCAATATTTTTTTAGTTTTTGCCAATCAATGTTAACACGTGTATTATGCATACACTCATTCCTATAAAAATAATAATAATAAAGTTGATTGGTAATCTATTATAAAAACTAAACATATAAGTCGTGTCTAAGTTATTGAAATAGTGAAGATAACATAATTAGAAGAGACAAAGTATTTCAAATGGAATTATTAATTCATCTATATAGAATGGTTTCATTTACTAAATTAAAAAATTAAAATTTTTGTATCTTTTTTATAGATATTGATCAGTTAAATTTAATATTAAGTATCAATGAACATAGAGAAGTAGATAAATATTATGAAATTGACTTAGAATTCAACGAAAAAAATAATGATAAAAATAAAAAGAAGAGTTTTGATTAAAAAGATGTTGAATTAATTTAAACATGAAAAATTATTGAATAATAAAAGTGACATGATGTAATTAAGATGTTTCTTGGTGCTTTATATTAAAGCATTATATATATTTTTAAAACTTTTTTTAAATATTTATTGTTGTGGTTGTAGGTTTAATGTGAGAAATTATTGGCTTCAGTGTGAGTTTAAAGATTTTTTTTTTCCTCAGTTTATAAAAAAGACATCGTTTTAAGGAAAGGCTGTGAATTCAACATGCTAAACTTGAATATATAAATTCTAGTTAATAATTTTAAATCATTCTTAAAAATATTAGCAGCTTATCATCATCTTTTCTGTTTTTTCTTTGGTTTAGAAAAGCTACTATATATTTTATATGCCTTAACAACATACGTACGTAATATAATTTGAAATCTTTCATTCATTCAAGAAAATTAGATGTGTGAGAAAATGGAAATTACTAGGAATTACTTTAAAACATCTTGAATTTTTGAATTGTTTAAGTACTTTAATTAAAATGGTTTTCTTTTATAATTATAAGGTAACGCATGTTGAATTATTTTCAATATATTATTTCTTTATGAAATATTTTATTGTGTTTCATTGCTAGATAGAAAACAATAATATTTCATTTTATAAAGAATCGTTTAGTTCAAATTAAAAATTTATCAAAGAGAAAAAATATAAAAAAAAAACTCCAAATCTTGTTAGAGAGAGAGAAAGAGAGAGAGAACATGATAGAAATAAAACTAAGTGGGTTTAATCCTTAAACTTGGTGACCATTCGTGGAAATTAAAATACTTTTAGATCACGAGATTGCATTGCAATATAATTCAACAACTCTAATTACGTCAACCACCCTACCAACTTCTACACCACCAGCACCTTCGCCACAGCTTTCATCATGTCAAGTTAAACCATTATCATTGCCATCTCTTCCTCAATATATATTGCCTTTACTGCTATATATAACACTCACAATTTAATTTATCGCCGCAGCAAATCATTATCTTTCCTTTTACATTATTATTTGTCAAACAGTAGAAGTCTTGTTTTATGTAAAAGAAGTCTCAAATTAAGATTATACAATACCATAAATTAATCGATGAATAGAACACGAATGACTCTAGAGGGGTACGTACGTAGATCATATATAATGCTATATATAATCTATACATGTGGTAATTAAAGTATTCCATATATATATATAGAATGGCAAAAGCAAAGAAGAAAGGAGGTGCTAATTATTAATCGAGCGCTTAAGATCATATATATGTGTGTGTGTGTGTGTGTTAGTAGCCGACTTAGCTATAATTAATAACCCCGTACGTGATTAAGATCAGAAGGAGACTCGGTAGGGGGGTTGCTTCTTCTTCTTCTTCTTAAGGTGGTTGATTACTTGTAGAAATGGACGTGGTGGTCCTGGCCAATAGTCAACCGAGAAGATTTATTAGAGCATTATTATAATGGACCAAGCAATTAGTAGAGTGCAGAGCAGAGTAAGAGGATGCATCTTCCGCCACCACTTGGAAAATATATAAATAAATATACTGAAAACACAAACAGGTGATCCACCCCCCTGCCCTGCCTCTTTCGGTTACCATTTAGCCCAACGAACACACCACTGATCATCCCTCTTTTATGTTTTTTTAAGAACAAGAAAGAGCACTCGGCATCGTACAGGACGAGAAGACTCAGATACATGGCGAGACACGAACACTACTCATTAACATTTATTATTTATTAAACATGAGCAAGCGAAATACACCTCTCTCCCTCTCCTCTTCTTCTCCATCTTTTCTCAACTCCTCTATTTCTTGCAGATTCATTCATTCATTCTTAATAGCACGTACTTTTCTTTTCTTAACAAAAAAAAAAACTCTCAATCCCTCTCTAACATGGAGTATACTATTAATAACAACAGATAGATTGAGATAGAAGAAATTAAGAGAGGAAAACACATGACGGGGTCAGCTTCATTGTCATCTCCGCTGTGCACGTGGCTGTTCACGGCTTGCATGTCGGTCACGTGCGCTGAGGAAAGAGCACACGCGTTGTCTCCACCGTCGTCTAATTCTAGTCGCAGACGGAAGGCTAAGGCGGCTGCTCTTCCTATGAAATGCTGCTGCAGTATTAGGGGAATAGTCCATTCTTCTCCTTCAAATGATAACAGTAATAATAAAAGTATGTTGAGTTTTAAAGGATCAATGAGCTCCTGTTTGGCTGATAATGAACCTTGTAGCCGTTACTATGCTTCTGGTGGACTCTTGAGACGACGACTCAGTCCCCCCGCTACTTCCGGTATTTTCTTCTCTTATTTAATTTATTATATAATTCAAATGGTTGTTCCTTTGTGTGTCTTGTAATCGGTGTAAGCAGGATCTTGCTGCTGCTTTGTTAGAGATTTTTCAAATCAATGAGTGCAGTACTTTGGAAAGCAAATATTGATGCCTTAACTTTGCTGTCATGCTTTTTACGAGGCAGCGAGTTTGGACATCGTGCGTGTATAAGAGAGTTTGCTGAGTCTTTGTTTTCCATCTCTCTCTCTCTTCTTACAAGAAAACGACCCATCGTTCGTGTGAGAGAGAAGTTGTCTTTCGCTGCATGCAAATGACAGACTCCGAACATGCGCTTTTTTTTGTCTTTAAATATTACAGGGCAAGCCATGGCTGTAGCTGTGCAGCCTACAGAGGAAGTTGTGACGAAAAAGAAACCACTTACGAGGCAAAGGAGAGTAGTTGTGACAGGGATGGGTATGGTCTCACCTCTTGGTCATGATCCAGGTGTCTTCTACAATAATCTTCTCCAAGGCGTCAGCGGTGTGACTCGGATAGAGGCTTTCGACTGCGCTCAATTTCCCACGGTACGTAACTGATTTTTTCAACGCATCTTTTCTTCCATTTGTTGCTCGCTCTAATCAAGTGCTCTCACCCTCAGAAACTATTTTTTCCCCCTTTACGCAGAGAATTGCTGGAGAAATCAAGTCTCTCTCAACTGATGGATGGGTTGCTCCAAAATTGTCTAAGAGAATGGATAAATTCATGCTTTACATGCTTACTGCTGGCAAAAAAGCCTTGGCGGATGGAGGGATTACTGAGGATGTGATGGATGAATTGAATAAAAAGAAGTGTGGAGTTTTGATTGGCTCAGCAATGGGTGGGATGAAGGTAGAGCTAATCTCCTCACAGTTTAAGATATTTTGTCTGTGATGATGAAAATGTTGAGAAAAATGACTTTATGAACCATCTGCCAACCAACTTTAAAGAATTACTGAACGAAGAAATGTGTATATTCATTGTGTCATGGAATTTTATCGATGATTTAATTGCTGCTTCTGGTTGATTATCGAAAGGTTTTCAATGATGCAATTGAAGCTTTAAGGATCTCATACAAGAAGATGAATCCTTTCTGTGTTCCTTTTGCAACAACAAATATGGGTTCTGCCATGCTTGCAATGGATCTGGTAAGCCATAATTTTCAAGATGTAATATTAAAGCATACAGGTGATGGTTTGGGTATTTAAAGTTGACCTTTAAACTTGTGTTTGTCACTTGTAACTGCAGGGATGGAGGGGACCAAATTATTCAATTTCCACTGCTTGTGCAACCAGCAACTTTTGTATATTGAATGCAGCAAACCATATCATTAGAGGCGAAGCTGTAAGCATCTCGTGTTCAATTCATTTTCAACAGCAATAGCGTGGGATGCTTAAGATCACTTGTTAACATCCAACACCCAATTTTGTGAACTATAAGATATGAACTTGCAGGATGTTATGCTTTGTGGTGGCTCTGACGCAGCAATTATTCCTATAGGTGTTTTTTTTTCTTCCTTTGAGTTATACCTGTCCTATATTTCTTGGCATAGCAGGAAGCTGATATCAATTCATAATCGTTGGTGCAGGATTGGGGGGTTTTGTGGCATGCAGAGCACTTTCTCAGAGGAATGATGATCCAACAAGAGCTTCACGACCTTGGAACGTGGTAATTTAACATTAAAAATACCAACACACACCGAAGAAAAGGAACAGGAAAAGGAAGAAACCAATTTTTTGTAATTTGTTTCTTAAAAAAGAAGAAGTTTTATTCACTTTAAACATGATAGTAGCCAAGCCAGTGGAAGAGTTATCTGGTGAATAAATTACACTAATTTATTTATTGATTCACTGCCCTATCCTCTCCAAGAAGTTTTGGTTCTGAGTTCTCCCCTCTTAAAGTCTTTTGTAATAAACAGAATCGGGATGGATTTGTCATGGGGGAAGGAGCTGGTGTTCTGCTTCTAGAAGAATTAGAACATGCTAAGGTAACGGTCTTATCTAATCCAAATAAAGTCGCATGATCTGATGAGAAGCAGAAGTAGAAGAGAATTAGAACATTCACTGGCGGTCTCTCTCTCGCTCTCTCTCCTTGCGCACAACGTGTGCATTGCTTGCTAAATGCTATATGCATGGTGATGGTAGATTGCTAATTTTTCTTGACATGGTAATCCATGGTTTGTTTTTGTTCGCAGAAAAGAGGTGCCAATATCTATGCAGAATTTCTTGGAGGGAGCTTTACATGTGATGCTTATCATATGACACAGCCACGTCCTGATGGTAATGTGTCCCTCTAAAATACCTATAATTTTAAACACTAAATCTCCATGCGGGCATGGTAATTTAAAGATACGCTCGAGGATCTTGATTTTTCCTTCATTTTGATGCACCTCATGATTATGTAATTAATTAGGAGCCAGTATAGTATTGATTGATATCATGACCCTTGCTTCTTTCTTGGAGTATTATTGTGGTTGTTTTTCAAAGTATTTTTCACTAAAAATATATTAAAATAATATTTATATATTTTTTAAAAATTATTTTTGATATCAGTATATCAAAATAATCTAAAAACACACACAAAAAAAAAATATTATTTTGAAGTAAAAAAAATAAAAAAATTTAAAATTTTTCAAAAATGTTTTTGAAATGCAAAAACAAATAGGGCCTTAGAATATTTGGCATTATGGTCCAACAATGTTTTTGAAAATTTTTGAAGTTTTTATGTTTTTTGGATTGTTTTGATGTGCTAATGTGAACATGAATTTTTTAAAAATAAAAATGTTATTTTCATATATTTTTAAATGGAAAGCACTTTAAAAAAAAATTTCTACCACAATTCCTAACATGTCCTTAATTGTTGCATTCTCATGGTTGCCTTTCGATATTTATCGAAGTAGAGACATGGGGGATTTTGTAATTATTTTCTATTCCAAAAGGAATGCAGTGGTCTGGCCCTGTTTAAACCATTCAAGTCTTGGGAAACACATTTCAAAAAAACAAAAAATCTACCTCTTGTAATATACAGATAGTTGTAGTAATATTCCTATTTGAGGTAAATTCTACTGTCCTTTTCAAGAGTAGTTTTCAACGTAGCATATGGATCATTGCAGCAATCCTACAAATTTGCATGAGGCATTTTCCAGTTGAGTTGAGTTTCACAGGCTTTTGGACAGTGTGCTGCTATTTTTGTTTTTAATTTTTTGTTAGTTATTTCTGTGAGTTGGCAACTGTGAACCTTTCTCCTAAATGTTGCATTTCCCCAGAGGTGATGCACATTCATTTTTAGGCTATTAGGTGCTTGAATTGGTTCTCTCTCTGAATTACAGCAGCCAAATGAAAATTTTCTGTTGCAACTTGTTCTTGTCTTGGTTTTATATTTTATCTTGTTCTTGTCTTGGTTTTATATTTTATCCATTCAAGGCCTTACAAGCTAGCTAATGTTCCTTCTGCCACATGAAAGCAGGGATTGGTGTGATTCTCTGCATAGAAAAGGCATTATCACAGTCTGGGATATCCAAAGAGGATGTCAATTACATAAACGCACATGCTACATCCACACCGGCAGGTGACCTGAAAGAGTATCAAGCTCTCATGCATTGTTTTGGCCAGAATTCTGGTGTACGTATCATCTGTCATAATCGCTGCCTAATTTCAATTTCTGCATGGCCATCCATTGCGAAGGTGTGACACAATTGTTTTTCCACATTCACAGTTGAGGGTGAACGCAACAAAATCCATGATTGGTCACTTACTGGGGGCAGCTGGTGCTGTGGAAGCCATAGCCACAATACAGGTAAATTGATTTGCATTCATGAGATATGGATACCTTTTATTGAAGCACATAAAGAGAACGGAGGGAGGAAAGGGTCACTTTAATTCTTGCACCCACGATGAGTATGGGTATGACATTTACAAATTGCTAAAACAGATGAACTCTTCTATTTATTTTTATTTTTTCTGTTCATAATAAACACACTTCTCATGTTGCCATGAGAGAAGGAACATTGAAACTGCACTTCTCAAGGGACTTTAGTCGAGCTATTCCTCCCTCCCCAAACTGAGAACAAGTTTTTCATTGGTTCTTGATGTTGTATTTTGTTACTTTGTACAGGCAATACGGACAGGATGGGTTCATCCAAATATCAATCTAGAAAATCCAGATCAAGGCGTGGTATGTTCGCTCCCTTGCTTTTCCCGTTTGCCCTTTGGCATTGTAGGTTTATATGCGATGGCGTTCACCTCATGCTTTTAAAAAAAAAATTCAGGACACGAGTGTATTAGTGGGCCCGAAGAAAGAGAGACTAGACATTAAGGCTGCGTTATCTAATTCATTTGGGTTTGGCGGCCACAACTCATCGATCATTTTTGCCCCATTCAAGTGAACCGGAGCTGCTTGAAGGTGTTGTAAGCTTGTTACTTTATCTCTCTCTGTTTGCTATAGCAAGAACACATCGAGCTGGGGATGTGAACGTTGAATATATGTTGAATTAACGTCTAAGGCCCTGCCATTCTATCATTTCACCAATGCATGACAGTAACTCAATTTTCAGCAACTCAATTGTGTAAAATATATAGATGTGGTAGGTCTGGTAGGAGATATTATCCTTTACAGCATGCTAAATGGATTACTCGCCCTAGCTTCTTCTTGCAGAGTACAGAGTACCACTGGAATCCTCACAGTATCCTGTTTTCTGTTGAACTGGTTGAGTTCAATTAAACTTTCAAATGTAACTAGTTGGACGTCTGACATCGATTAGGTGACTATTTGCTCGGGAAAGGAGAACAGTCAGATTTCGCTGAGTAACTATTCGCTGGAAATACTCTTTGTTTTTGTAACTCTCATTCTCATAATATGATTAGTAGCGGGCTTGTTTAATTTTTGTTCCACGTAGTCAATTGTAATGTATCTTGAGCTAACAATTTACTGTCAGCATAATGGTGGTTTTTTGTGGTACATTTAAAAAGTCTATAAAAAATGTTCTCAACGTGTAGTTGTCAAGGTATATTGATCCGATGAAATTCTGTCGGATGAGTTTTGGGATGGATTAAACAACTGCAATACTCGTATCACAACCAAGCAATCAAGAATATTCCATATCGGCACCCACAAATACTAGCATGCTTTCAACTCGGATGTTCAGGCAGTTACGCCCGCTACTCATTCTTGCTCTTGATCACCTGGGATCTGTTTTTCATGGGTAGATTTGAGCTCGAGTAAAAAATGCATTTGTGATGAGGACGCAGAATATCCACTCAAATTGAGTAGGAGAGAGGTTTATAGTTTAAAATATAAATTATCAACTGAGTTACCAACAGTTATGAACTCTCTCTCACTCTTTTTCTTTAATGACTAGTTTAGTTAATGGGAATACAAAATCGTTTGAACATGACTACAACCAAGATGCTGTCTGGAGTAAATTCCGTTGGGACTTGTTCGAGGATCCAAATTTGAGAATTTGCCGTTCTCCAGAACAGGAGGAAATGCGAGTGCTGATAACTGCTTGTACTCCCTGGAAGAACCAACATTTCATTGACGAGCTTACAACCAAAGCGCAGATCCTTTCCTGATATATCAATCCACACAGGTTTTTCACCTGCTCTTTCTTTTGCTGCCTTTCTTCTGACTATTAAAATTGATGAGCTTCATGGACAGCGCAGTTGAAGCACTATTGCCTTCAAGCTTCCTGGTCATTTTTACGACTCTGGCCATCCCTTTCCTCGCAGCTGCTCGATGCTCTGTCTGGTCTACGGCCCATCATCTTGCGATCTAATGGCCAATATGCATATGGCTCAAGCTTTTCCTTCCTCCTCATATCCCCGCCACCTTTCTTGCTAGCATATTCATTTCCAGTGTAAGCCCTCCCAGAATCTGAAGTTTTCCTGCGCTTCTGAGTTTTCCTGGAGTTCACAGACTTGAAACTGCCTGCTTCACTCCTCACATCTGAATCAGGGTCAGTGGCCTTTTCCTTCTTTGTTTTCCCTCCACAAACTATCAGCCGCCCTTCAGGGTCGATCTCTGGCTCATCGTCTGATTCTTGCTTTCTTTTAAGGTGCACAGATGATCGCAGGGCTGATCGTGTCAAGTGGCTCATCTTCTAACTGGTCAAACAAGTCTTCTGGCAAACTCTTGTCTGACCTGTGTATTGTTTTAGGCCTGGAAAATTTTGTACATATTTATGCAATCTCAGATTGTTTTGTGCCAGTAATTACAAACAGATATGCTGCACCATCCAATCAGATTATCATTCAGTAGTTGAACTGTTTATATTATCTATTGGGACCAAAATAACAGCCTAAATTGCAAACAGTAAAAATAACAGTTCATGCCATTTATTTATAAAACTTTTTTTCGTAAAGTCACTGACCTTAATGAAGCCTTGGATTGAAGCTGCGAGGAAAACTTGCTATGCCGACCAGAAACTGTTTTTGTATCCATATATTCACCACCATTGTCCTCTGTCTCTCGATCACTAAAATCAGAGAAGATTTTTGTATGGTTCCATCTGCTTATCCTGTAGTGAAGCAAGATTTTTCAGAATATCATTAACAATTTCAAGATCAGAGAAGAATCCTCAGAAACACCAGGATTGCATTGTTTTGCCAGAAAACACTGGACAGTCTGATGCATTTGGTATATGGTACTGAAGTCTGACATTGGAAGCAGTAAATCTATGTTGTGATGCGTCAAACTAGGTACAGTTAGGACTCAAGGTTCGTGTATGCTCAAAATGAGAGGATGACAACCATAAAGAATGAGCCTTGTTCTTAGAATGTAATGCATAGTTCTTAGAATGAGCCTTGTTCTTAGAGTGTAATCACAGTAAGAAAAAGACAAAAAAACAGAGGAAAAAAAAAAACAAAGGAACAGGGGCATTTATCCCACCCAGCAACTGAGAAAGAAACTTACATCATACTAGCAAGGATCAGTGTTAGAAGAGAAATACAGTATTTCATAAGCACACAAAAAGATGCATAGTTCTCTTATTATTATTATTATTATTATTATTTTGTGTTTTGTTCTTTCAATACATTGCAGGCCATCACCGCACTCATGTGGGGATTGAACAAAAGATGAAGAAAGCTGGATGTCACAAGCCATTGATCCATATAGGAATATGAGTGAAACATGGATGTAGTAGCTCTTGACATATGAGATTTAGTATCCTAACACTTTATTCCTCAACACCGACCACGTATTCACTTGTGTTAACAACGTTCCCTCAAACCCCAAAGTCAACCATGCACACATTCCCCTTGACTCCTCCAGCTCCTTTCTACCTGAAATGATCTCATCGTTATTCAGCCTTCTGACTTAATATTTTCACTTCTTTTAGCTAATTAAATAAATTATTTATCTAAGGTAATAAATATCTATTATTTATAGTCATCATTTTTAATTATTGGTAATTAATATATAGTTTAAGGATGCCATCTTTTTTTTTACAAACAAACTTAAAGCTCCCAAGATGAATTACTAAGAAGAATGAAACCCTTGTTTACAAGCTCTTATAATTATACCTTTAACTCAGTCAACTTATATTGTATTTTTTTTTTATATTTGGTTTGTTCCGATACTTATTTAGTACTTCTAATAAATTTATTCTATAAACACTTAAATTGTTTTTCTACCTTATTTTCAACTCAGGTTTACATAGATAGAACTATTTTATATAGTGACTAAGTTATGAGTGTCATCCTTGGTAACACATTAATGAAAACCTTCATTTTCTTTTTTTAGAAGTAATCCTAGTAGCTCTTTTAGAAGTAGCTCTTTTAGAAATATATCTGAAAATTTCTAAACTATAAAAATATTGTTTATTTGAGGACTCTCTTTCCCCAACTCTACTAAAAAAACTATATAAACTTGACACCCTTTTCTTAAACATTTACTAGTGGTCATAATTGATATTACATAATTTGGTATCATTATGCTTTCCTCCTAAATGTCACCTCATCAATATCATCTTCTAAAAATGTCACATTTTTGATAAAACATTCCTACCCTATATACACTTAAACAATTCATTCTCAGTATAATGTCAAAATCAGTTATTTTTAATGGAATTAAGTCCAGCTTTATTCTTTTTCCCTTAATTGACACTACACACTCTTTACATACATCTTTATTGTCCACACACTCACCCAAAAGAGTACCAATTATATTCCTTTTTCTAATATATCTCTATTCAAGTTCAATTTATTCATAATTCTAGACGCTACAAAAAAAATGGGTAGCACCCAGATCAAATAAGGCATAAAGTGAACAAGATTTTATTTCTATCATACTTGCCATCACTTCGATTGTAGTTCTAACATCCTCATGTGTCAAACGATAGATGTTCCTTTAAGTTAGTTCATGTTGCACTCTAGATCATCCCCACATAGCATTGCCCCTTGACTGAGTAGGTCCCCTAGACTTGTTCACAATTACTGATTGTTGATAAGTATGTGCTGGAAACTAAGATTTATAACCCATCATCCTCAAAGGACATTCTCTTTAAAAATACCATGTCTCTTTATATTGGAAATAACATGTCCCTAAATGTTTGTAGTCCTCCCATTTATAACCCTTCTACTTGTAAATATAACACCTGTCCATTGTTATTGAATAATCCCTAGGATACTTCTGGTTGCACTTGCTATAGAAAGGATACTTCTACTTGTAAATATAACTCATTATCTTATAGAACCCCTAGTCGAATTAGTCTTTAGGCTTATAGATTCTCTAGAGAATCCTTTACCACCAGATTGTATTGATTTTCCTAAGAACTCACAAAGTTGCTTTTTTTTTTTTGTTGAACTGCCTAGAAATAACCTACTCTTTCCTTTCTTAAGTAGAGGTGGTTTCCTAATAGAATACATCATGTCTTTTATTTTTTCAAATCTTCTTTGTTCCCTATCACAATCACCTTATTTTCCTATTACAACACAACCTCTGAAGATTGAGCTGCCTCTACTAACTCCCTCATAGTTTTGGGTTGTAAAGCAATCAATCCTTTTTTGAGCTCATGTCGAAGTCCGTCTCCTAGTCCATCAATCTGATGCTATACAATTAGCACTACAGTAGTAATAAACATAGAGAGGTTCTAGAATCGCCTCTCATAGTCCAACATTGTCATGTTACCTTATCCCGGTGCCAAGAATGCATGTTCTTTATCTCAACGATGTTGTCGAGAATAATACCTTCTTTCAAATTCAGACTTGAAGTTACCCCAAATCATCACCTCTCACCTCTCTCTCACCATGGCCCACTATGAATGGGCACTATCTGATAACATTTGTGCCATATAAGATACTTGTAAATTTCCTCGTATTGGAATTTGAGTAAGAGATTGCTTCACTTTGCATAGCTAATATCCAGCTATCTCAACATTTTCTTTTCCCAAAAAGAGCATACACCCTATCTCTCGTATACATTTCACCTAATGGAGAGAGGAAATATTAGAATTATGAGTTGTGATTAATGGAGTTGGAATTTAAAGATTAATTTGTGGGATTGAAATGGCTTAAATTGAGGGGCTTGAATTAATGAAAATTTGTAACAAGTATATGATTTGAGGACTGAATTTAGAAAGACGAATACTTACAGAGTCAAGACAACACCGGTTTTTTAGAAACTTTAATTGAGTTTGGAATTTTTTTTTAATTACACCCATTATTTTTTAAGTTTTTAATTTTCATTCAGTATGTTTTAATTTTGGATCTTCTTTTCACTTTTATTCATAATTGAACCTTCTAATTTGGTTTTTTTCTATAATTTAGTTATTGGCTCTTCCATTTTTTTAATTAAAGCCAAAGTTTTTTCCTTAATTACTTTTCAACTGCAACCTACATCATTCTAGTATTTTTTTTTTTACCTTCTTCAACTCAATTCTTGGCTTGTTAGACTCAATTATTTGTTTAACTTTTCCCCTAACTGAATTTATTTTCCTCTCATTTTTATTATTTTTCTGTTCTTATTTGGGTTTTTAGTTATTTGATCTTAAACTAATATCTTATTTTCCTCTCATTTTTATTATTTTTCTCTTCTTATTTGGGTTTTTAGTTATTTGATTTTAAACTAATATCAGCGAAAGCGAAACCAGCCAACATTAGTGAAAGCAAAATGAGTTGGTCTTGATTTTGATTTTTTCAAAGAGATTGTTACACCCAATATTAAGGAGACTAAGAATTTTAAAATATATATTGGTTCCATAAATCTAACTAAGGGATTGGTTGAATTTATGGAAATAAAAAATCATCCTTACTAAGAATTTTAAAATATATATTGGTTCCATAAATCTAACTAAGGGATTGGTTGAATTTATAAAAATAAAAAATCATCCTTACCATGTCGTTTTCCTAGAAAAAAGTTACTCTACTATTTAACTACGTGTTTCTCCTAAATTCATCTCATATATGCTACTTATTGTTTAAATTATTTTCTATATTTATTCACAAGTCATTACTATTGATAAATGTTAGTATAGCTCAATGATTTTTTTTTGTTTTTACTTTGTATTTTCTTAATTATTTTTTATCTATTTATATTTCTTAACCATTTATTATCATTTAAAGAAAAAAAGTGATCAAAATAATATGTTCGACCCACATTAGTCGCTACTTTGAGGAGATTTGTAGACTTAGAATTGACCTTGTTTTTAAATAAAAGTATCACATTATGCTTACACGGATCATTAAAACTAGGAGACAGAACAACGAATTATTTAAATCAAATTTTACCAAGATATAATGCTAACTTGACAAAAACTTCATGAATAGCTTTTGAGTTCATTTAAAAGATAAAATTATCATGTTAGGCTTATGCCAATCCTTAAAAACGAGGAGTCGTGTGAATTAAATGTTAAAACCCAAGTTTGATCGCATTTATACTTAGTCATGTATGGTGAAATTGCCTCCCAGGAGATAAGGTTTTTTTACTTTTTTTTCCCCATTCCGTATATGTATGGTCTCTATTTACGCTCAGTTATGTTTCTAGCTTGAAAATAAAATAATTAAAGAAGAAATTAATAATAGCCTTCATGATGATCAAAGTTGAAGATCACACAAAGAGAAGCTACTTTTATGTACTGTGATAAATGAGTTGTGTACAAAGATATGATTTTACTAATGAGTCAAAGGCGTAAGAAAAATATGCAAATAGAACGCCTTTATTGTTCTGAGTTGTTATTCTTTTTCTTTAGGGACTCGAGATCGTTGTCAATGTACCCAGTGCAGACAGCTTGCACCGCCAGCCTATTGGCAATGTCAGAACGCTTCTTTAACCCAAATGTTTCACCTGATACAAGAATTCCACAGCTCTGTTTCCCAACACATGCCTGCAAGTTAAGGATCATAATTTGAGTCAATAAATGGGATAAATGAAGAATTATATCACTAAAGAACACGACCAGCGTTTTTGCTACCTTTTCCACTACCGCCGCACTGCGAGTGGCGTAGAAAGAGCCCTTCATGAATGCGCCGCATGTTCCCTCAGGGTCTCCATAGCTGGCGAATTGAATGTCTGAGATTGTTCGGCCACCTTCGCATGACAATTCTAATGTGCTTCCTTCATATGCATTTCCACATATTGTCCCCACAGCAACAATCTGGAACGACACATTTGTAGGGTTCCCGCCCACTTCCTCAAACACTATCAAGGTGTTTTGGCCATCCTTATTTAGGTATGACCTTGGGATATGGTACCATCTTTGAGAAGGATTGCCGCAGTTCGTCACACATTTATCACCATTATAAGATCCACGGTAGTCACAAGTGTCAGGGCATCCTTTGGCATCAGCAATTTGCGTAGGCCAGAAGCGACCAAGGCTTTTTCCATTCACCCAGGCATGCCCTTTGCCCATGCCTAGCAAGTCTACCGCTACTGGTTCAGTACCTGAAGGACTGGCAAATGTGGTCTGGACACACACGGTTGTGGTAACTTAATTAGAAACAGGAGTTCTAAACCCATAATTAAACATTTCACAAAATATTCTCACCGAGGTTTCAAGGATTAGAACGTATTTACCTTGTACCATGTCATGGCTCTTCCGGTAGGAAGGTTATCACTGGCAGTAAATTTACTGGCATGTGGCGAATTTGGATCATAGTATCTTTTGGCCTCACCGCTCAACCCAATCTTCATATAAAGAATGAAGTGTCATAAGTTTGCATAAACACCCATTAAATGCTATTTTCTGTAGAATTTTTGCGGGGCGTACCTTGTAAGACCACTGATATGACGTCAAGTCCATAAAAGGTTTCCCATTTGCTACCAACTGGACCGGGCCTTCAGCAATGCCGACAGGTTTTTTATCATAATATTGACCATAATTCTGCCCAGAAGAAAAGAGGTAAAATTGAAAATGTGAGCAGATGTAGAAGAAAAAGTAATATCAGCAAGAGTAGATTATGAAAAATATGCTTGGTAAACGAATAGAGAACATACAGCCAATCCAACAGTGGCACTGAGTAAGCTTATGGTGTTAGTCCCAGAAGTGAGAGTAACTGGCTTCTCAAATAGAAAACTGTAATCATCTCCCTTGACTGATTGTTGGCCGTTGGCTTGCTTGGAAAACTGGGTTCCTGAATTTCGTCAACAGTGGAGATTCAAGTTTAGCTAATTAAAACTAGTAGGATAATTGACAATAATTTTAAGTCGTCCCGCAGATTCAAATCATTTCTATCAAATTGGAATTACCTATCTCCTTCTTGTTAACATAAGCATGAAGTGTATGGCCTCTTGTGCCAACTCGCAGGGTCACATTAGTCCACTTCTTCAGTGTTGTCTCGTTAAGGTTAACACTGCATCAAAGCATTAGTCTTCCATGTCATGACCTGGAAATATGCAGCCCAAGACTATAGGAACGGTTGCTGGATAATTTTCAGCATTTAAGCTTATTACCTAGTCATGTACCACAAATAGTCAGTAGTATCAACAGTTGTTTCTTTCTGCTCAAGAAGCTCGGTGGCTCTAAATCTACCCTTTCCTTGGAGTACACCTTTCATGGGTTCTGGTGCCCACGTCCAGGAAAGATGAACTGGTTTATCCTCCTCATGTAGCTTCTTGACCATTATTGAGGTCTGGGTATTAACCTTTGCAGTGTTGTAAATTTCTTTGTTGCAATCTTGAAGAATAGTAACAGACCAATCAGGCAAGGAGTACTTCCCATCTTGTCCCAAGTCTACATTGGCTTCCTCCATGTTTGTATTGCTCAAGAAACAGAATCTCTCTCCAGTCCCTTGGTTGGTGTATGTAGTTTGCTGAACATTGAGAAGAGAATTCTCATTAATCAAAAGAACACGATAAATTCATGTTACCTCTTTCCTTTGGAATCAACATCAACTTACATCGACCCCGCCCCAGAAATTCTTGGATGTCACGGTGCCATTAGTGAGAATTCTCTCCCCCTGTTTGATAGCTGCGTGAAGTTGCTTGAGATGACCCCACTTGGGCTGATTCAAATTACCTGGAAATGATAATTTTGCACAACATCATCTCAAAGTGCTCACAATCGTATTGATATGCAATGAATTTAGAACATCACATTTCATTATGTCCGTGCAGATTTTCCTCGGTTTAAAACACGTTTACCATATTCATCCAGGGGAGCATTGTAGTCATATGATGTTGTAATGTATGGACCTCCTGCTGTGCGTCCAAAATTCGTTCCTCCATGATACTGAATTAGTCAAGGAAAAGATCAAAATATGTGAATAAACCCGAGAATATTAATTAATGTCATATGGTATGCAATTAACCATATAATAGCTGTTCAAGACTCCGCCATTTTGGATAAAGCGTGCCACTGAAAAGGCCAAATCTTCAGCAGTTCTATATGGATCTCTGCCACCCCAAAGCTTGAACCTAGAAGGACAGCATCACGGTTTTAAGCTTGCTAATTTAAGATTTGAGTCTGCGAGATTAGGAAAACAACGTAAAACTTTGGGAAGAAAACAAACCATCCACTCCAGTTTTCTGTCCATATTTTGGGACTCTTCGGGTTGTTTGGCTTGAACTCGTCGCAGTAAAATCCATTGCATGTATTAATCTGAGGGGCAGAATACAACAGAAATCTTCAATGCCAAATCAGAATATGAAATGGTGTTAAACGTAAGCCACACTACCAAAACCGAACAAGGAAAACAAAGCAGAAATGGATACCATGGGTTGTGGAGCATTAGACTGCTGGCACATTATCCATGGGACTCCAACGTTCTGTCCTACTGCCATCTGTGCACACCAATTGACGTACCTTCTCCCTGCGTCTCCATAAGGTCCCATAACGTTTCCATATTCATTCTCAATCTGTTATGTATCTCCCAGCAGAAATGTCAGCATACCGATGTGAATGCTACTTTATGTAAAAGACAAGAGAGAAGGCCGCCAAACCTGTGCTAAAATTATAGGCCCTCCCTGTGGTGCAAACAACTTTGCTTCTTTGCACACGTCCACGATCTTGGTGGTAAAAATTAGCATCTCATTCTGTTCATAAAGAGAAATTAAGAAAGCAGAACAGAAACACTACAACAGAGAAGAAAAATCAATTATTTCCAAGTAATGGGAACCTTGTAAATCTCATTATCCGTTCTCAATTCAATCCCTGGAATGTTGTGTAGCCACATGGGGAAGCCTCTGATAAAGAGAGATTAGACATCCTCAGCTTTGAAATAGATGCACAGAGTTAGTTTGTTTTCAAACTTGCATTTGTCTAGCATTAAAAAGGGGACATACCCGTATGACCATTCAGCACAAACATACGGACCAATCCGGAGAATGACGTGAAGTCCAGCATCTTGAGCGAGCTTAAAGAATTTTACAATGTCCTGATTCCCAGAGAAATAATACTGGCTCGGCACAATTTAAACAGAAAATGTGAATTAGGTTGGGGAATCAAATCGCTTGAGCTGAAAAAATAAAGCACTTCGTGCACATGAGCTGTTCAAACCTGCCGGCGGACAGGCTCATGACGGTCCCAGAAGATATAAGTTTCAATAGCATCAATGCCACCTTCCTTGGCCTTCTGGAATAGCTCTGGCCACATCTGTATAACAGGAAAAATGAGCCCAACATTTTAACTTTCTTATTTGAGAAGACAAGAAAAAAAACACAACAAAAAACGCAACAAGCAAACAAGCTAGGTTGCTTTCAGGCTCACGATATTGTCATATTGAAAGATAATGTTTCTGATACCTCAGGGGTGCTACGCGGATAGTGAATTGCTCCTGCGAAAATGATTTTCCGTTCACCATTGATGATAACAGCACTGGAATCATAATCAACAGTTATTGCTGAGCTTGAGCATAGCAATGCTAAACTCGCAATAAGAAGAATTTCAATCTGAGAACCTGACAGCTTCATCTCTGATTTTGGATGAATTATAAAACAAGAACAATTTGAAGAGAAAAATGAAAAGAAGAAAACAAAATTAAGCGTGTTCGTGCACAGGCTATCTTCACACTGAAGCCAGTAAAGCTGAAGAACAATGCTTATATAGGAAACTCCATGTCTAAAATTATACAAACATCTAAGATTGGACACCTCTATCACCTAAATTTTCTATATTTGGACACCCATTGTTCAAGGTTTTACAAGACTCGTTAGGTATTTTAGATAAGACTTGACATTCTGTCCTGAGAGTTTTGAGCAACACTTCCAGCGCGCTAGCCTTAATTTCAACCTGAGGATAGCTGCAGAGGACAAAACCTATCCAGTTTCAAGTCAGCGAAATTAATCATGAGTACGATGATGAACTCCTTAATTACTACCGCGAAACATGGTGCCAGTGGATTGTCTTTACAGCGGCCTTAACAATAGCAATGATGTTGTAAATCAAAGCCCGTTAGAGATTATAATCTGTTTTTTTTTTCCCTCCATCAGTTACAAAATTGGACAGAGAAAAACACTCTGTATTTCCTTCTTTCTTTTGAAATCTCAAAATTTCATTAAGAGAATACTTCAAATCGAAGTACAGCTCAAGAGAAGAGGCTTTTCTTGGAGCATACGAGGCATGCCTCTAGAACAGAAGTTCACTCAGCACCCTAAAATCTTGGAAATCATTTTTCATTTATCAAAAATGAAAAATGGTAGGCTATGGTGGAACTTCCTGAAATCAATTTTAATCAGCTTGCCTTTAACACGGTTGAAGGGAATCTCTATCACGGACTCTACATAGATCTGTGGTTCGTTTATACGGCGATAAATATCCTAATTCTAAATAAAATTAAGATTTCTCTCATGTTTAAACGGAGCTCAAGGACGCCATGGATTAAAAATATTTTTGAAATAAACATTCACAGGAAACAGGCATTTTAGATTAATTAATCCTGACTAAAACTAAGAACATGAACCTGCCCCAGCTCGTTTTAAGAAAATCAAGAAAGAATTAACAAAGCCCATGAGACCTCTTTCTTTCTTTCTTTACTCAAAACACATTATGTGATCTCTCTGTATTTGTAGAATTACCGTTCCATTACTATTTACTAACAAAGCTTAAAAAAATAACAAATTGGATTGATTTAATTGTTCACTGCACTGTAATGTGAACAAAGCAGTTTCTTTTTCCTCATTATTCAAGTTAATAAGAAAGTTTTACCTATTCAGTGCGCTGTTGATGCAGTCGGGGCCTATGGAAACTAAAAGTTTTGAGCATTTAAATCGGATTTGTGACAAAAAAAAATTTGAGCATTTAAATCGGATTTGTGACAAATTTTTTTTTATGTAAATGGTTTAATAGATATTTTTATGAATTAATGGGATATTACTTTGTCTAAATAGAAAGTAGGTTCATATTAGATAAGAACAATGGTTAAAAAAATCATAATATAAGATCTAATCATTTTTTATTAAACTCAAATATTTACAAAAGGTTTTTTGAGGCCCACTTCAATAAGGGACTGATTTCTTCGATCTTTATTCTTTTAAGTATTTTGATATTAGGCTAAAAAGATTGAGTCAATTTTATTATTTTTCCTGATTTATTCTGTAATTTTTCTTTGTGTTTTTGGATTCTAATTTTTAATTTTATTATTTTTCCTGATTTATTCTGTTGTTTTGGATGTTATGTAATTTTTTTTTGTGTTTTTGGATTCTAATTTTTTGTTTTATAGCAGAGATAAGTTTTTTCTACATATTTGAAGGACTTGTAAATCTCTTTGAGTGGCAAATATTATTAGATTTATTTTTATAATAAAACTATGAATTTAGAGTTTATATCTACAACCCTTTTCACTCATCAAAATTTATCTTTTGCAATTGTTTGATGTTGTTCTATCTCTGTTTGTTTCATAATAAAACTATGAATTTAAAATTATTTTCTACCTCTGTTTGTTTCATAATAAAACTATAAATTTAAAATTATTTTTAAAAATTTTATTTTAATTTATTTCAGTCTCATAATATATTAATAGCATAAAGAGTAAAAACAAAAGAAAAGAAAAAGAATGTTAAAAAATCACATTTATTGAATATGTTATAATACACAAACAAAGAAGCATTTGAACCAAACAAATTCATAAAATTCTCAAATATATACTATTTATAGGAGTTTTAATCACACCCATGTAAAATTTAAGGTCATTTGAAAATTATTTGTTATAGTAATGAAAGTCAGGATTAAAAGTTGCGTAAGAGATTAGATTCGTATCAAAAAAAATTTTAGGTCAAATAAATTTAGAAAATTCTTCAATTTTATATACTGCATTTTAAGGTTTTAATCACATCTCATATATAATTTGAGGTCATTTGGAGTTTTTTCACTATAAGAACTAAATTTGGGATTGAAATTTGTCGTAACAAGTTTAATTCATATAAGTAATTCAAACTTGTTTTGCTTTTATTATTTCTCAATTCTAATAGTATAATAATATTATAATTGACATATCTATACATCATTTTAATTTTTTTATAATCTTTGCATGTGTTTTCTTTTGTAAAAATATCTATTTTGCATACAAATTCACTAGTTACTCATAAAATTATAATGTAGTTTTTTATTTACTTATTTTTATATATTTTCTTGCTTCTTAAGTCATATGCACATATTTGGATATGCTGATAAGACTGTTGTATTTGGTGTTGAAATTATTTTTACAAAAGCCAAAAAAAGGTGAGGCGAGAGGAAAAAGATATAACAAACATATAGGAGTGAAAATCATATATTTAAGTAAAACATGAAAGGAGTGTAAACATGTGAGGGAGTGAGAAAAAAATTATTTTTTATCATAATATCAAAGGCACCACAAAGATAAGACAATGAAATTATAACTTAGTTATACATTATGAATCAATGGATGAATTAGATGGCTGATGAATTTGAAGATAAGTTTGATAGATTGGAGAAAAAACAGGCTAATGATCATGATGGGGTTCAAAACAGGTCTGGACGAAGAGAATTTATTATTAGGAGAGCTCTTAGGCAAGTTAAAATTGATGTGAATGAGTTTGTGGCTGATAATGACATGAGTAGTGTTGATTTTGAAAATATATTCATGGGACGTGGGGAGCATTTTGCACGCCAGCAGAATCATCAGTTTGAAGGGGAAATATATGATAATAACTTTGGATAGAGAGGTAATTATAGGTACTTAAACTATAATGTTGAGTTTGGTGGAGATTTAGGTACAATTAAGCGGTACTTAAACTATAATGTTGAGTTTGGTGAAGATTTAGGTACAATTAAGTTAAAAATATCAGCTTTTCAGGAGAAAAATGATCTATAAATTTATTTAGAATGAGAGAAGAAAATGAAGTTGATTTTTTAGTGTTAAAATTATCCACAACCTAAGAAAGTCAAGCTTTTTATGATTTTATTTACTATATCATTGTATAATAAGATTAGTTAGTGACAAACTGTTGTTTGAGTAGCAAGTTGAAGAATAAATATTAGTTTTTTTTATTTGCAGCAAAACGAACATTTTTTTATAAAGATGAAAATGGTATACTAACTAGTTTTATAATTTTATTTATGTACTTAGAGTTTTTAAATATAAAATCATGTTAATATTCAAGTATTTTTCTATACCTTTTTATTCTTAAATATAAAATTATCTCTTCACTCGAATTCTATAAAATCTTATTTTTGACTTTTCAAATTATTATTTATTTGATCAAATGATTAAGACATCCACGTAATCTATTATTTTTATCAACACAGATATAATAAAACTTCTAGGCTCTAGGCATATGACAGATAAGAAAGGTCCAAAATGGATTTTCCAAAAGCAAATCGCAGCTTCCATAGATTTGCACGAAAAAAGCAAGCACTTGGTCTTCAGCCAATACCCTGCTAATGATGAAGTTGAAAGAAAGTACGACACAAAAGAAAGCATTGAAAGCTCTTCATCTCATTAAATAAATGACTACATACCTACTTAGCTTGGTGGTGCCAACTGTTTCGAAGAGGGCAACCATCCCGAATATACGCTCGAAGTGGTGCTGTGGTTCGTGGGATGATCTCTTTCATAATAAGCGCATGGTTTGAATTGTTTAAAGCTGGTTCCATGGAAGCTGGGAACGAAGCCAACCATGCATGCAAAACATCACTGTTTTCTTACTAGCAAGTAAACAAATCTAACTCTAGTATTTGACGTGGCCATGAAATTCCAAAGAGACTGTATATCCAGTTAATTTTCTTTCACATGATATTTAATGTACGCTTAACAAAGTGTGAAACTAGAAATGGAGAAAATTAAACTGTGCAAGTGTTCTGGACCTTGCAGCCTAAACACATCCTCCTCAATTCCTGTCTTTTGTTCCATTTCGAAAGATCCATTTATATATACAGCTCTCCATAGTTGTCACTGTCCAATTCAGTTACGCCAGAGATCCCCCACCTTCAAGGCTTCTGAAAAAAAATAATATCTTGCCCAGTTCTTCTCCCATCAAGGCTTCTGTAGTTTTGTTCAAGATTTGACAAAAGAATCAACAAAGAATCAATTATTTTTCTTCTAGATAGATAAACTATAATAATTGAAAAATAATTTAATTGATTTGATTTTTTTTTGGTATCATAATCATTATTATATAATTTCATAACCATCTCCACCCTTCACTAAATAAATAAATTGGAATTATAAATAACTAATAAATTAAGAAATAGTTATGCCCTACATTTTTTTCATAAAAAAATAAAAACTTCTAAAAAGTTTTAAAAACATTTTTATTAGACATGGCTAGCACGTCTCAGTCCAATTACTATTTAAATATATGGACTTAAGCATTATGGCTCAAGCTTATTTTAGGTGTGCTATTATACCTAACCTTACTTGTGGGGTATAACACATAGAGCAAGCAACCCTTATTATTTTGCATGCCAACACCCATTATTAATCCAAGCATAACAAGATGGATTTAAAGACTCT